CGCCCATCCCTTACCATGGCGTAGATCCCCCCTCTATTCGCACAGTCGGTTGTCGCAGCGTGGCATAGCATTATTTTGGCATAGCAGGTTGTTGAATGTCAACGCGTAGCATGACATAGCATGGCGTGGCGACGCCCCAAAGTGGGGGGGCTTCTGCGGCCCAATCAACGGATCGACACCGAATGTGTAATCACCTCCGATGGTTTTCTCGGGGGGGCATTTTCTAGATTTTGGGGCCTGTTTGGAGGGACCGAAAACCATGCCGTGGCATGGCATTGGAAATAATGACGCCAGCGCTGCAGCGGGAACACGATTCGGAAGAGCGGAAGCGTGGAAATGAGGCCAGCGTTGCAGCGGGAGCACGATTCGGAACGAGCGGGGGGAGGGGAGGGACGGGGGGGGGGGCAGGAGGGGGGAGGGGCGTGGGAGGAGGGGACGAAGGGGGAGGGGGGAGGGACGTGGGGGGAGGGACGGGAGGGTGGACGAAGGAGGGACGAGGGGAGGGGGCAGGGACGAGTGGGGAGGTTGCATCCGTCTGGAGGTCTGAGATGGCCCAGCACTGGTTCTGGCCAGCAGTGGGGGCGGGCGTTCGGGAAGGTTTTCAAGAAGCCCTCTTCGGCCTCAGGGGGTCGTTTTCGGGCCCCGGGGCCGTCGAAGGTGGATCCGGGGTGAAAAGCTGCGCCGGATGGACCCTGGCAGGGTTCCAGGGACGGATTTTGGACGGGCAGGCACGAGGGCGGAGGAGGAGGAGGAGGAGGGAGGAGGAGGAGGAGGAGGAGGAGGAGGAGCGTTCTGGGTTCGGGAAGGCCGTTGATCCTGGTCGGCCGCCCTCGGGGGGCCGGTGTCGGGCCCCGGGGGCCGTCAGAAAGGAGTGCGGAGTGAGAAAGCTGCGCGTGATGGGCCCCGGAAGGGGCCCGATCTTGAGCGGATTTGTCTTCGTCCCCCTCCCATTTTTTGATATATATATATATATATATATATATATATATTATATTTACATATATATATACACGCACACGCACACGCACACGCTCACGCACACGTACACGCACACACACGCACACGAACACGCACACGCACACGCGCACGCACATGTATACACACAACACACACACACGCACGCACGCACGCACGCACGAACACACGCGCCCCCGCATACACACATACGCACATAAACACATACACACAGACACACACAGACACACACACACACAGACACACAGACACACACACACACAGACACACACAGACACAGACACGCACAGACACACACACAGACACACACAGACACACACAGACACACACACAGAAACACACAGACACGCACAGACACGCACAGACACACAGACACACACAGACACATACACAGACACATACACAGACACACACACACAGACACACACAGACACACACAGACACACACACACACAGACACACACAGACACACACAGACACACACAGACACACACAGACACACACAGTCACACAAACACATAGACACACAGACACACACACAGACACACACACACACACAGAGATACACACAGACACACAGACACACAGACACACACAGACACACACAGACACACACAGACACACACAGACACACGGACACACAGACACGCAGACACAGACATACAGACACAGACACACAGACACACAGACACACACAGACACACACAGACACACAGACCCACAGACCCACACAGGCACACAGACACACAGACACACAGACACACAGACACTCAGACACACAGTCACATAGACACACATATACACAGACACAGAGACACAGACACACATACCCACACACCTACACACACCCACACACGCACGCACGCACGCACGAATGCACACACACAAGCACACACAAGCACACACAACCACGCAAACACAAACACACACACAAACACACACATGCACAAACACACAAACACACAAATACACAAACACACAAGCACACAAACAAACAACCACACACATACACAAACACACACAAGCACACAAACACACACAACCACGCAACCACAAACACACAACCACACAAGCACCCACACAAACACACAAATGCATAAACACACAATCACACAAACACACAACCACACAAGCACACACACAAACACACACATACACAAACACACAAGCACACAAACACACACACACACACGAACACACACACACACACACAAACACACAAGCACACACAAGCACGCAAACGCACAGACACACAGACACACAATCACACACACAAACACCCACGCGCACACACGCGCACACACATCTATGTATGTATGTATGTATGCATGTATGTATGTATGTATATATGCATGTATGTATGTATGTATGTCTGCGTGTGTATGTATGTATGTATGTATGTATGTATGTATGTATGTATGTATGTATGTATGTATGTATGTATGTATGTATGTATGTATGTATGTATGTGTATATAGATGTATTATCCTTATCCGGGGCCTCAACCAGTTCAGACCCCCACGCCGCCTCCAGGAAGGGAGGGTGGACGAGGGAGGGTGGACGGGGAGGGACGAGGGGGAGGGACGAGGGGGGAGGGGCGGGGGAGGGGGGAGGAGCGGACGACGAGTGGGAGGGCACGCTAGCAAGCTAGTTGCGCTCGCGTCATATCCGGCATCTGGACCCTCTTTGCCATCGGTCTATTCCCAGTGTGTTGTCTTTTTTCTTTGCCCGCGGGCGCTTGCCATAGCGGACCTGGAACTCCAAAGAGGAATCCATCGCGTGATGCGCCTTTGGAGGAGGAGGGGGGGGGAGGAGGCGGAGGTTGCGAATGAGCAGGATCATGAACAGGAGGAAAAGGATGAGGATGAGAAAGGAGGACAATGAGGAGAACAATGCCGAAGAGCAGAGGCGGGCACTGGAGTGGAAGGAGCGGGAAGAGAGCCGTTTGAAGAGCAGAGCATACCACCAAAACCACCTCGCCATCCCATTGGTATCGCTCGGACGTGTGCATTTTTTCTCGGCGGGGATTATGAAGGGGCATTCCAGATCATCCTGCGAGAAAGCCACGCACGAAGCCAAACAAAACGCAGGGAAGGGACGTCCGAGCGACGGGGAGTCCCTCCCGGTAAGAGTGGAAGCCGAGCGGGCGCCCCGCGGGCGGTGGCGGGATGGGCCGAGGAAGCCGCTCGATCCGCCGCCCCCTGCTTTCAGGGGTGCACGGCGTGCTGGACGAGCAGGTTTTGGTTTTGGTTCTTTTTCTAAAAGAACTCCCCAGTGGGCTTCGGCCCGTCCCGCCGGCCACCCGCAAATTTCCGAAAATCCGTCTGTCAATGCCCAAAAACGGCCGTTTCGCTCGGGACATCCTCAAAAAATTTCGAAGATGGCCCAAGATGGCCTCCAAGTCCGCCCGAGATGGTCCAAGACGGCCTCCAAGACTGCCCAAGAGAGTCCAAGACGGCCCAAGACGGCCCAAGAGGCCCCCCAGAGGCCTCCCAGACGGCCCAAGAGGCCTCCAAGAGGTCCTCCAGGAGAGTCCGAAGAGGCCAAAATCATTGATTTTCCATTGGTTTTTGAAGGATTTTGGCATTTGCGCCTTTTCGGCTCTCCGACGGCTCAAGACGGCCCAAGAAGCCCCCAAGATCGCCCAAGAGGCCCCCAAGAGAGCCCCATGATGGCCCAAGTGGCCTCCAAGATGGCCCCTAGAGGGCCCCAAGAGGGCCCAAGAGGCCTCCAACACGCCCAAGATGGCCTCCAAGACGCCCAAGATGGCCTCCAAGACGGCCCTGGAGCATTCCAAGCGGGCCCCAAGTCGGCCCATAGAGGCCCCCCAAACGGCTTCCGACGGCTTCAGACGTGCCAGGAACCCACCAAGATGGCCGAAGTTGGCTCGAAGCTGGCCCGAGACGGCCCAAAAAGCCCCAAAGATCGCCCAAAGCTTGCCCAAGAGGCCTCCAAGACGGCCAAGATGACCTTCAAGATGCCCACGTGTTCCCCGAAGGCTTTCCAAACCGATTCGGGGAACACGTGGCCCGATAGCTTGGCAGGTCTGGCCTCAACGTTCGGCCACATAGGCGCTTCCAAAAAGGCAGGGGGCGGCGGTGATTCGCCGTAGGCGTCTTCGATCCGCCGCCCCCCCCCCGTTGCCGGCAGCGTGGGCTTTTGGCGTGGCAGGGTTCCTGCCTTTCTCAGAGCGTGAATTACCTACCTCGCTCTCGCTTCCAGGCAAAACCAAGTCATACCACGCGCCTCCTCGTCCAGCGGCCTGACCAGTACAGGCCGTAGTTTGGCATCGCTTGGTATCTCTTGGAAGCGAGGGTGGTCAAAAGCGAGGTAGGTTTGTTTTCCCTACTTTCGGATCCCTTGTCTGGGGCAGGGCCTCGGGGGATCAGGACCCGTCTCCACCAGGGCCCCTTCCCGCCATAGCAGGGGAGGGCAGGGTCGGGTGCGGCTGGGGCCAGGATGCAGGATGCAGCTTTCCAGAGCGTTCGGGGTCGCTCGCGGGAGCGCTCCTGAACGGCCACGGCGCGCTTGGCATCCTCCACAACCGCTGGATCTGAAAGATCCACCGGATGTCCCGGCCCGAGTTTGTCCCCGTCCTGGCCTCGTCTTAGATCTTAGAGGGAGGGAGAGAATTCACACCATGCAGCCACGGAGAGGGTGCAAGCCGTTGTTCAGGCCGTCGTCGCTGGCACTCGGACAACCTGCAAGCCTGCGCGCGTCCGAGGGGCTGGCCGGCTCCAGCGACGACATCAAAGGACCCAAGGCACTCCGACTTGACATGGCCTGGGAGCGCAGCTGGCCTGGGAGAGAGTCGGGCCGGGCGAAAGGGGGGGATTGGGGAAGGGGGGGTTACGAAATTTGCTGCATGCAGCTGGTTTCGGCTTCACCGAGGGGCCCATTCCTCGATACATAGCCGCCTCCGGCGCCAGGAGGCGCCGGGAAAATCAGCTACGTGAGCTGATTCTCAAACCCCCCCTTTGCTATCCCCCCCTTTCGCCCGACCCGAGAGAGGACGGGGAGGAGGTCAAGTGCTTCCGCGGGCGCAGCGGAGGCCAGCCGCTGGCAGGGAAGACCAGGGCGCGGCCGTTCTCCAGGGGGGGGGGGGCGCGCCGGCTGCCCCTAATGCGCAGCGCCTCCTCCCTCCTCCGACCGTTGGGGCCCAAAAGGTCCTGCAGGCCGCTGCGTTGAGCGCCTTCGGTTACCGTACTTCTTCCGTGCTCCTCCCGCGCAGATGGCGCCCGCCGCTCTGGGAGCGCTGGTCCTGGGCGCCCTCTCCGCGGCGGCGGCCGCCAGGAGGGCGGAGGGCGAGGACCTCGTCGTCGAGCTCGCCGAGCGCGTGCTGGCCAACAGGCAGGAGATCCTGCCGATCCCCTGGGAGTTCAGCGTCGAGAGGGACGTCGGCTACGTGGGCGAGCACCCCATCCTGGAGAACTCGACCACCGAGGTGAAGCTGAGCTCGCTGGTGACCGTTCGCGAGGTCCAGGACTCTATAGGCCTCCCAGGTGGGGTCCGAGCAGACAGGGTCGGTCGGAGGATCGCGCCGCATCGCCGATGCATGGACGATGCGGCTCGATGTTGAGGCCGATTTGCTCCACGCCGACGTCGCGCATGCGTCGCCCGAGTCCCCGATGCATCGCCGATGCGTCGCCGATACATCGGCGATGCCCTGGCGATGCGGCGCGATCATTCGACCCCGTCCACTCGGACCTCATCGGGGAGGCTTCTCAGGACGGGCTTCCCCCGAACATCGCCGTCGGCGCGGTGACCATCAGGGACGCCGACCAGCCCGCCGCGCCTCCCTCGAGCTTCCGCACGGGCGGCACGGTGGGAGGCCTCGACTACATGCACCTGAACGGCGTGGTGAACCCGACGGCCGACCTGACCGTCTGGCAGTGGCAGAGGAGCTCGGAGGAGGAGGAGGCACGCGCCTCGAGGTTCGAGGTTCGAGGTTCGAGGTTCGAGGTTCGAGGGTGTCGTGGCGCGTCGCGCCTCGAGGTCCGAGGCGGTCGGGCGCTCCCGGCGGTTCTCGGTTCTCGGCGGCGCCTTATCCAGCCTCGGGGTAAGCTCTGCGGCAGCTGCGCCTCGCCGAGGCCGTTCCGGGGGGTGCCCGGATCGTCGCGAGGGGCCGCCGGAGGCTGGAGGCAGGGCCCCCAGACCACTGGGAGCGCCCTCCCAGACAGGGCGACCGACATGGGAGGTTGATCGACCTCCTACCCCGACACGCCGATTCAGGAATGGGCCGTTCTCGCTTCGCGAGAGGGCGCCGCGGCCGTCATTTTTGCTGCGGGCCCAGGTCCGTCGGCTTCGGCCCCAGGCCGTTTTTCACTGGAGGGAGGTTTGCCAGAGGGAGGTTTGACCACCGCCGAGCTGAGGGAGGTTTGTGAGAGGGAGGTTTGCCAGAGGGAGGTTTGTCCACCGCCGCGCCGAGGAGGCTGCGCGCAGGCGCCGCTGCCCTGCCCTCGTCTGCACGCCTGTGGGGGGGTCTCCCAGGAGAGGCTCGCCGTCGCCACGGCTGGATGCGCCTCGAGCTGCTGGGCTCAATGCGGGCGTGTCCCTCTGCAGGAGGAGTATTCAAGAATAGTTTAAACAATTAGTCTGGGGACGTGAGTATTTTTGGTAAATTTTGGCGGGGGTGGACAGAACCCCCAACAGTGACACGTCGATTAGTGAATTGTCCGTTTTCGGTTCTCGAGAGGGCGCCGTGGCCGTTATTTTCCAGGCTTGCGCCCGCCAGGTCTGGGCCTCAGGTCGTTTTCACTAAACCACGTTTTACTAAATGGGGGTCTGTCCATCCCCGAGTTTGTTACATGTTCTGCATCTGTTTCATTTTTCGTCCAAAATCCGCCTGTAGGGGGACAGGCCCGACTTAATTCTGGTCAGAACGCACCCCGGAAGAGAACCGGGGAGTAGCTGCTGGTCAGAACGCACCCCAGGAGAGGTCCAGGGAGCACGGTACCTTTTGGTTTCCCCAGGAACCGGTGGTTCGGTTTGAAGAAGTGGCTCGAGATGTGGATCAGCCGATACCCGGAGAAGCTAGTCGCCATACATTCGTACGGCGACGTCTTGTACGGCGGGTGCGACGAGGCCACGCTTCAGTTCAAGTACGATTCCCTCGTCGCTGCAAGCGGAAACACGACGAAGATCGTGATGGCTGCTGAGGTGTCCCCTTATCCGTCGGACATGGGCTGGGCATACCAGAGGTGGAACGAAAGCCTCGTAAACCGCACCCACTCGATACTCGACAGTTACGGCATGTCGCATGACTGGGCGGAGACTTACGCGAATTGCAGCGCCAGCACTCCTAACAGCCAGTGCAGCCAGCCGCCGAGGTACCAGTATGCGAACGCGGGGTTCATCATGGGGCCCGCGAACGACGTCTTCGAGATGCTGTCCGGCCTGAGCACTTACCCCGGCCTCGACAACCGCCTGGTGAACGAGTACTTCCTCGCCAACCCCGACCTGGTGACCCTCGACTACCCCGGCACCCTTGTCCTGTCCTTGCACAACATGGTGAAGAACGGGACAACTCCTGTCGAGGTCGTCACCTCCGGCGGGAGCAAGTCCCTGAGGAACAAGGAGACGGGCCAGACGGTATGCTTCGTCCACGGGAACGGCAACTCGTTCGACGTCATCAGGGGGTGGGCCGAGCAGCTGACAGCGTAGGGCCCCGCTGCCAAACGTAGGGGTCGGCCCTGGCTTGCGGCATCTCAGCCTGGCGTGTTGACGCCAGATCTGAGGACAGGGCGGAGAGAACGAGGAGCCCTCTCGAGGGAGGAGGCAGGGGAGGAGGGAGGAGGGAGGAGGCGAGGAGGGAGGGGGAGGAGGTAGGAGGGAGGGAGGGGGCGGAGGGAGGAGGGAAGGAGGAAAAGGGAGGAGGAGGAGCAGGAGGAGAAGGAAGAGGAGGAGGAGAGCAGGAGGAGAAGGAGGCAGAGGAGCAGGAGGGGAAGGAGGGGGGAGGGAG